TTCTTCCTTCAAGGCCATGTTGGGGACCGAGTTTTCTGTTTAGTCTTCCACTGCACATGGCTGATTGTCAGCTTCAGGAAAAGGGGCTCTGCAACTGAAGGAGAACCAGGATACAGGAAGCCAGCAGAGGGGCTCACCTCAGATCTGTTCTGTGGCTGGGAGGGCTGGATGCAGTCACCGACGCAAGCCTTGAACAAGCTGGCACGAAGAATTTTATAACATCGAATCAACAAAGGGCCTGCACCTTGGAAAGACTTTAGTAAAAAGGAACTGTATGAAGAGTGGGAGGAGAGTTTGAAACCAGCACCTTTCATCAGTCTGGTGGCGGTCAGCTTCTGTGGGCCTATTTCTCAGCTATGACATGGACTTGGTGATAGCTGCCCTTCTACATTCCCTGGGGTTTGGTACCAACATAGGCTCCTTTCTAGATCCCATCACATCCTTCCTTAGACTGGCTGTAGGACCCTGTTGAACAGATCCTGGACATGTCCTTACCATTGGTGGCCAGGCATACCAGCCCTGAGTCTTCATCAGATAAAGTGTTACTCCAAGAAATCTTCCCCAATAGATCATTCTTCCATTTTCTGTACCCCTGAAGCCTGGCTCAGCCCCAGGCTTACTGATAAAGGCACAACTTCAGCCCCCTAGGTGTGATGGGGAGAGAGGTGGGGGCTGTGGGAGCTTAGAGCAGGTGCATTTGACAAATGGAACTCAGGAAAACTTCCTGAAGAAGGGGTAAGGGGTGCGAGAGGGAACTATCTAGACTGAGACATGCAGTTTTGAAATGCCTGATGTCTCTGGGGGTTCTAGGAACAGCTGATGCCCTAGGGCAGGCCCTGGGGTGCCCCTGCCAAGGAGAGTTCAGGCTTGGGGCTGTTGAAAAGCAAGGTGGGCTGTGGGTGGAATGCTTGCTGCACTGGCAGGGTTGGAGGACTAGGTGCAGGGAGAGGAGGCATAGGTGGGTTGTGACCCAGGGCAGTGATGCCAGGGAGGGTGGATGTGGAGGGAGCCGCGGACAGCACGTGTCACTAATCATAAAACACTTTTTGAGGTCTGAAGTAGCATATTTACCATCTTACAGGTGGGGAAACTAAGGCACAAAGAGAATGATTTACATTCTCTGAGGGCATCAGGAGGGGAGCAGGCTGGGAGAGATGAGGCACTGGGAAGCTGGCCTTATTCCGGAGGTGGGAGGATGTGTGGCTGGAGGGGCACACAGGCACACTCAGCTTGTGGGAGATTATAACATGGGGCACCTTCTCAGAGTATCCTGCACCCCTGGCCACACCCTCTGAGGCAGTGGCTGGCGAAATGTGGGTCTCTCTACTGCTTGTTACTATTATGTGGGGTGAATCAGGCAGGTCTGTGAGACTGAGACATTGGAGATGGGTGGGACTCTATCCTGGCAGATCTATGATACTGGGATGACAGAGGCTGTACTCAGTGCCCTCTTATTGCTCTGCTCTGGGAGAATTTGGCTGAAGCATTTCTGTGCCCAGGCCTCCCTGGGGCATTGGTCTCAGGTCAGGAGTTTCCCTTCCTTACTCTCTCCCTCTCTACCTCCCTTCCTTTCCTTCCTCCTTTTACTGTCTTCCTTCTTTAACATCCTGGAAAAGCTAGACTGTCTTCTCCACAGCCTGCCTCATAGCCTCCATTCCTGCTGGCTTGTCAGGCTCTCCCTACCCCACATTGCTTCCCCTTGCCTCTGTGTGTTCCTATTTGCAATCTTACTATTCCATCAGCCATAAAACCCTTCCCAGTCTCTGGCACCTGACCAGCAGGTGCTCCCAACTCAGGACCTCTTTTTCCACAGAAGGGCTCCTGACTCCAAAGCTGTGACTTATGGGGAATGTGAGACTGCCTCAGTTTCTCCTCATGAGAGGGCAGGATGGGGATCTCCTCGTGGACTCAGCCTGCAGGTCAGCTTCAGCAGGGCAGAGCTGCTGCTTAGAGGAGTGAGACAAGATGGAGGCCAGTGCATCTTTCAGGCTGGGCACTGTCCTCTGCAGGGTCTGGTCCTATAGTGGTGTCTTGGTGAGCAGCCAGCTCTGCTCTGAGTGATGCTGGATCCTATCATGGCCCAACTTCTATTTGTAGGGAGGCCTTCTTTCTGTACCTCTCATATTGGACCTTCCTGGCGGTCAGAAAGAGCCAGGACATCTTGTTAGTGGATGGATGGTCCTGGGGAGTCTTGGTTGGGTTGTCAGCAAGGTATGGGATCCTCCTCCGCGTCCGATCCAGGCCAGGTGCACAAGTGTCCTGGACCACGGGCTGGCTGTACCTCGGCCCTCCAGCCTTCTGCCCCATCGCCAGCCCCTGGTCGCAGGCAGGTCGTCTGGGCCCCTCACCCACTGAGCGCAGCCTCCGCCTACTGCAGCTCGGCCCGGGGCTGCCGTCCGCGGCACCCTCGGGGCAGTAAATATTATATTACCGTAGGGTGTGCAGTACGTGACCTGAGACGGGCCCCGGGACTTAAGTTTCCCCGAGATGGAGCTCGCGCGCCGCTCCCCCCACCCTAAAAATTCAATTAAAAAAAATAACAGGAAAGACGCAGCGCGCCTAGGGCCTGCCAGAGCGGTGCCGCGGCGCTTCGGCGGTAATTGGTTCTGCATAGCTCGGGGAAATTGGCAGAAAAATAAATCAGCCAGGAGCCCGGAGTCCAGACGCTGCGGGGAGGGGGCGGGGGCTGCTTGCGGAGTAGGCCTGGCGCAGCGGCTTTGACGAATGTCCTGTTTGAGTGTCAAGGGCTCGGCCGTGGGGCGGGGAGGGGGCGGGCGGCCAGCCAGGAGGGTCCGGCTGGGGAGGGCGGGCACCGGGCCCACCCGCTCCTATGCACATACCAGCTCTCGGTGTGGAGCACCGGTCTGCGGAGCTTTTAGGGAGTTCCTGTGCGATGCGTCTGGGGTCAGCGTTCACTGCCCTCACACATGATTGAGTTTAAACTTAACTCCTCGCTTGGGGTTCAGCGGGGTGATTTGGGGGTCTGTGGTACCCCTAGCTGCGCTCGGAAGGCTTCCCAAAGCACAGGCAGGATTCTGGGAGGGCCGACTTGCGGCCGCCCGCCGCCGGGTGGATGCTTCTGTGTTCGTGGCTGCTGGCCTCTCCACAGCGTCTGCAGTAGCTAGTCGGGGGTCCATAAATTTCCTTCTTGGAAAAAGTGTGTGCCCAACACAAAAGTGATTTGTTTTAATATGGGGCAACTTAGCCTCAGGCTTCTGCCCTAGCAGACACAGGGGGCAGGAAAAGGACCCTCTGGGTTTTCTGAGAGGTTGCAGTGAGCTGGGGGATGGGATATTCATGTAAAAGAACCCATTAGATTGAAGTGAAAGATGAGTCCCCAAAGGATGGCCCAGAAGTGAAGATCCTGGAACTAAAACCCAGGGACTTCAGAGAGGTAGGCAGGAGAGGGCATGAGGAAGGTTTCCTGGAGGAGGCCAGCCACACAGAACTGTCAGAGCTGAGTAGGCACCCAGCAGGCAAGCAGAGGGCAGGGCCCCACAGGAGCATACACACACAGCATCCATAGTGTGTGCAGCCCTGATGAACATGTTCCACCTGTTCCTCACAGCCAGCCCCTGTGTGACATCCATGAGATACCCTCTGCCACTCACCTTGACCAGTACCTGTTCCGACTGAGAACACGTCACCTGAGCCAGATCACAGAAGCTGCCCTGGCCCTGAAGCTTGGCCACTGTGAGCTCCCTGCAGCCCTGGAGCAGGCTGAGGACTGGCTTCTGCGTCTCCGTGCCCTGGCTGAGGAGGTAGTGGATCCTGAAGGACCTTTTCTTTTAGCCTTCCTGCCTCTTGGAAAGTCAGTACCATCTATACCATGAACCAACCATGGGTTCATTGTTGGGGAATCTTGGACAGGTCACTTAACCTTTCTGAGCCTTAATATTTCCATTTGTAGAAGGAGGTGAGAATGTACTAGGATACTGATGGGGCCCAACACAGAGCCCAGTATACAGTAGGTTATTCAGTAAATTACCCTAGCCCACTGAAGGATGTCAGAGCAAGGGTGCCTGGCTCTAGGTCCCACGTTGAGGCCTGCTTCCCCAGGACAAGACTCCTTCTGACCCATTGGTGTCTCTGTGTGAGTAGTAAAGAGAGATGACACCCAGGAATATACAGAGAGAGGGTGTCTAGAACTAAGGACTGTTATAAGGGGATGGGGAAAGCCAGTAGGAAAGGTACAATGAATCCTGGAGGTTCCCTGGGCAAGGCTGCTGGCACGTGGCTGGTTCCCTGGGGCATGTCCTCATAGTGGTGGATTCCATCCCTCAGGCTTGTCACTGGCTGTCTCTGAGGCCTTGCTCCTGACCCTGACCTCCTCACACAGTATATGGCTGTTACTATATGGGAACTGGAGAGCCCTCCTCAGCATCTTCCCAGTGCCACCCCCTCCCCCAGACCTGAGGCCTTACTCTCTCTGAGGAGCCCCTAATCTGAGGTAGCTCCTACCTTTGTAAACCTGAACTTTCTCACATGTTAAATGAGGAGGTGCTTCCCAAGTCTGGGGCTACTGAGGGCATTCAGTGGGACAAAAGGCATTTGACATGTGAGGAGTGGGTCAGGACATAGGTCTGGCAACAGGCTTGGGTGGAGGCTTCTCTCCTTCATTGGAACTGGAGGACCAGTCCCCAGTCAGCCCCTCTCCAGAGTGTGTCATGGAATGCCTCGAGTCTAGGGACCTTGGGACCCTGTTCTGGGCTACTCGAACTTTCAGAGCCTAGTGTCTGCAGGCCCCAGGGTCCTAGGGTCAGCAGCAGGAGGAGCAAGGTTCATCTGGGAAGGCCACATCTTCTGAGGAACTGCAGCTGCCGCCACGCTGATGAAAAGGCTGATGTCTTAGTGGATGGCCCTGACCCTGACACTATCCACTGAGGAGAGAACCAGAACTCTGTGCTCCATGAAGGGGTTTCTTCTCAGAACCCATATTCAGCTCAGTGACATTTGGGGGACTCCTCATGTAAACTAGGGAGGCAAATGCAGGGCCAGGGTGAGTAGTGTGAGATGGAAGCTGGGTGAAGAGAAACCTTTGTGGCTTTCAAGTCAGAGATAAGGCATGGGTCTGGGCATGTCACTCTCCCCACTTTAACTGCTACCCTCTCTCCAGCCCCAGAACAGCCTGCCAGATATTGTCATCTGGATGCTTCAGGGTGACAAGCGTGTGGCCTACCAGCGGGTGCCCGCCCATGAAGTCCTCTTCTCCAGGCAGGGTGCCAGCTACTGCGGCAGAAACTGTGGGAAGCTGCAAACAATCTTTTTGAAAGTGAGTGTTCTTTCTGCCCAGGTCTCAGCACAGGGTCTCTCTTCTACTTCTTTCGGCTCCTCAGTCTGCTCTGGAACTATCTGAAAGTCCTCAGGCTCTATTCTTGGAAGGAGGGGGGAGTCTTTGGATAAAATAACTTTCTTTTTCTTCAGTTTCCCCCAAAGTTCCCAGACCCCATGCAGAGAGTCTTGCTGGGAGCTGGAACGTGATGTTGGAAGTGAACTAGGAAAATCAGGCATGGTGATGTGTGCCTGTAATCCCACCACTTGGGAGGTAGACCTGAGATGTGCCTGTAATCCCACCACTTGGGAGATAGAATCAGGAAGATGATGAGTTCAGGATCATCCTTGGGGAGTATTGAGTTTGATACCAGCCTGGGCTACATGAGATCCTGTCAGTGTCCCCCCCTCAAAAAAAAAAGGCAGGGGGGAGGTTCTCCCCTGAGAGAGACAGAGAGAGAGACAGAACAAGGCACCAAGACTTGATTGTTCACTGGGACTGGTCTCTTTCAAGAATCAGCCCCAATCTCTAGAGTCCTGCCTCAGTGGCCTAACCTCTAGCGGAAGCCAGACTGGGCTCAATTCTCTTGCAGAGTAGGCCAGGGTCTGTGACCTGGAAGCAAGTAGCCTAAAGCACACCCTTGCTCCCCATTATCTTCTTCCAGCACCTGCCCCCTTCACTAGGCTTTGGGGTTGGGTGATTGGGGAAGTGAGTGGGTGCTTATGGAGGGGGTCCCATCCCCTTCTCTGGGTGCATAGTGGGATGCAGAGTCTGGGCAGCTTTGATCACAGGCATGGCTAGATGATTTCTCACAGAAGTCTCACAGCACATATCCACAGTAGACACCCTGTCTGAGTGTGGTTCTCAGGGGCCAGGAAGCTAGTCGGCCCCTTACCACTTCTAGTTGCTCCCAATGGCTCTGCATTCAAGACCCCACCCCACCCCCCGCCACCAGCCTAAACAGTCTCCCTCCATCCCAACCTGGCCCATCTCACCAAAGCTCTACTGTGGCTGTCCCCTTCTCCACATCTTACTTCCCAGGACTTACTCCAGGAGGCCATTGTTGACCCATCTTGGCCTTGATCTTTCTGAGCAGTCTTCTGCTGGCTGCTGGCCAGCTATTCTTGTTACCCCTTGGGGTGAGAAGAGAAGACTGGCTTCAGCTTACAGTAGCTTATGTGAACAGATTACCAGGACTCAGAGCTCTGCGTGGCCTTGGGCAGGTCACCTAATCTCTCTGAATTGTCCATTTTTTCTTGTCTATACAATAATGAAGATGAGGCTGTTCACCTCACAGGACTGAGGACCGAATTTGACAACACAGGTACTGAGTCTTGAACAAGGTGGTCAATGGACATTTATTCCTTTCCCCCTCTGTTCTCCTTTTCCATTTGGGGCTTTCCCTTGCTCTACAGATGCAATGCTTGGAAGTCAGTCCTAAGCAGGACTAACCAGATAATCAACATATAGTGTCATTGACTCTTCAAAGGGGAAGACAGCTTTGCTTTGAGGGAAGGACTGGCACACATGAGAACATGTGCAAGTGTGTGTGTGTGTGTGTGTGTGTGTGTGTGTGTACACTGGGAAGGACACATGATCCTCTCACCTGCTCCTGGACCATCTGACATACGTTCTCCATGTGATCCTAACCTCCAGTCTGGCCTCAGATTTCCCTCTGAGGCCGATCCTCTCCTTGTGCATGCTGAGCACAGGGAGGCAGTGTGGGAGCAGGCTGGCAGGGCAGTGGGTGTGAGAGCAGAGGCAGGCTGTAGGCAGGCTTGGCAGACTCTGGAGCAGTACTGGTTCCAGCTCTGACCTCTTGGCTCTGCATCCTCTGAGGGAATGTGAGCTGAAAATGTTCCCTGAGTCTAAGCAAAGGAGGGGGGGTGGTATAGAATTGTTTCTCGAAGTCTTCCCCACTGAGTCTATGAGCCCTGCCAGTAGCTCCTGAGCAAGCTCTACAAAAATGTTGGCAGCAGGCAAGAGACCAAGAAAACATTGGTGTTCCTTAACTTAAACCAAAGTTGGAAAAAGTGAGCACCAGCAGAGGAGAGGAGCCCCAAACTAGACATTTCTTTATTTGCTGTTGCTATTTTGGGTTGGGCAGGCTGGCCCTGTCTGGGGGAGGGTGGTGGTGGGAAGCTTGAGGTGGAGGGGGAAGGGGGGTCAGGCATTCCTGCCATGTCCCTGGGGCTGGTGGCTTGGAGGGAAAAGACAGCTAGCCATCCTGTGGGAGGGGAGCAGAAGTGAACACTGCAGGGGGTTCCAGGGGCACAAGTAGGATCAGAGGTGCCTCTATGCCCATGATGGACCAAAAGAAGAAGGACTGGGGAATGGGAGGGTGTCCCCTAAGCATAGCCTGTACCCCTTCCTGGGCCTTCTCTATGCCTGGGCTCTCCCTCCAGGGTTCCAGGCCTTCCCCACTAGCTTGGGGGCCCTCACCTTGGCTTCTCAGCCTTTTCTGAACCAGTTCAGCCTTTTCTGAACCCGTCCATACTTCCTGTCTCTCTTGTTCAGCACCCAACCCCAAAGACACACTTCTCTGAATTCATTACACTTAAGGTGTGGTCCACCCTCTAGGGGACAGAGTGTCACTCTAAGAGCTCTGCTTCTCCTCAGGCTGTATCTGACCTTTGGTTTCAGTCACATGGCAAGGTAATCATATTTTTAAAATGTTGGGTTGTTGTGGTTATTCCATTTGGCAGAGCTTCTGAAAACTTCAGGGCAAAAAACAGCTGAACAGTGGTTAACATACTGATAAGCCCTTGAAAATGTGGGGATATTAGATGCTATACTGACGTCTAGCCAAAATGTAAACTACCGAAAATGAAACTAGGTGGTTTTAATTGCTTTCTCTCTTCTGGACCAGTGTCACTTCTCTGTTAAAGAGTCAGATTCTAGCTGGTGCTGTCCAGCATGGCAGCCATGTATAGCTATTCAAATTAGTTAACGCCAAAAAAAATGAAAACTTCAGTTCCCCAGTTATGTGAGCCATTTTTCAGATGGCTGGGCCTTGCAGATCTGAGCCATTTCCACTGTAGTGAAAAGTGGGATTCTAGATGATGGAAGTGAGAAGATGGTGGGAAAAGGGATTATCAGAGACCCTGTTGTACTCACGACTCCCATCCTCATGGAGCTCCTGTGTGGCTACTGTAGTCTTCTTTGATGAGCAGGAGTCTTGGTGGGGAAGAAACTTCTTAGTTACATGTCCCGCTTCTGTGACATTCAGTGAGGTCTTCCAACAGGGCACACCTGACTGGGTATTGGACTGGTGTGCCCAACCAACCCTGAGGGAACTGTCTGTGCTTCTCTGATCTCAGTATCCCACAGAGGGTGTGCCTGGGGCTCGCATGCCAGTGCAGATCCGAGTCAAGCTCTGGTTTGGGCTCTCTGTGGATGAGAAAGAATTCAATCAGTTTGCTGAAGGGAAGCTCTCTGTTTTTGCTGAAACGGTGAGTGCCCACCTGCTTACTTACCCCTGGGTCTCAGAGCTATGCAGCACCTCACCTTTCCTTCTTCTTTGGTCTACAGTATGAAAACCAGACAAAGCTGGCACTGGTCGGGAACTGGGGCACAACAGGCCTTACCTACCCTAAGTTTTCTGACGTCACAGGCAAGATCAAGCTACCAAAGGATAGCTTTCGCCCCTCAGCCGGTTGGACCTGGGCAGGAGACTGGTTCGTGTGTCCAGAGAAGACGTGAGTGGTGGGCCCAGGGTCCTGGAGGGCCAGGCCAGAGCGCCCAACAGTGGTTACCCCTTCCTTATGCCTTGGTCCCTTGTCTGAAGTCCTCAGTTCTGTGAATACATCTGCCGGCTCCTTGCTGGTCATAAGCACTGTTCTTTGGATCCTCCTGAGACTGGAGCTCATCAGAACTCAGAAAGTCCTTTATGTGGCTGAGGAAATGGCTCAGTGCGTAAAACATTTGCTACAGAAGCATGAGATCCTGAGTTCAAATCCCTAGAACCTCTGATAAAGCCCGGCACAGTCGTATGTGTCTGTGCTTCTGTGGGAAGATGGGAGGCAGAGACAGGAGAGTTCCCAGAAGCCAGCTAGCCAGGTGTACTCAGGGTAAACAACAAAGAGAAGAACTTGTCTCAAACAAGGACAGGTGAGGACTGACACCCAAGCTTGTCCTCTAACTTCCACATGCATGCCATTGTATGTGTGCACCCCCCAAACCTGTACCCATACGCATATGAATGGACAGACAGACATGCAAGGTCGTTTATTTTTAATTTTGCCTTGTAGTTTGCACCCAATCCTGTGGCCTTGTCCTCCATGATAGAACATACTCGCGTTCATGTTCCAGGCAGCTCACATGTTCCCTGAGTGGTGCCAAGTCATGCAGTCCCTATACATTGCTGGCTCTGCTACTCTCTCCTCTGTCTTGCAGTTGGTTGACATTCAGCAGCTTAAAAAAAAAAAAAACTTGCAGTAGAACACAGAGCCAAATATCAAGTCTTCAGTGCCTAGTTTGATGACATTTTATTTCTGCTATCTGTTGAGCTTTGTGCCTTTCCCTGGTCTCCTTTCTCTTCCTTTATCTCAGGTAACACATTCTTTGGTCAGTGACCATCCCTAGTTGTCTTGGGCCTCCTTTTGGCTTTCTGTCCTGGTTTCTCTGCACTGCCCCTTCCATCTGTCCTGCAGCAAGGTTGACTGTGTAGGTGGGCTGAGGCAGAGGATGCGTGGGGTGTCCTCAGTGAGCCTCTGAACATCCTCTCCCACAGCCTGCTCCACGATGCTGATGCTGGTCATCTGAGCTTTGTGGAGGAGGTGTTTGAGAACCAGACCCGGCTCCCTGGAGGCCAGTGGATCTACATGAGTGACAACTACACAGATGTGGTGAGGGGTGCTCCAGGCGGGTGGCGTCAGCTTTCCCTCGAGTCCTGGACATTTGTGCCATGGGATCTATGGCGCAGAAGGATTCTTCCCTGTTCTCACCTGCTCAGCTTCTGTGCTCTGCCCTCCAGAGGGATGGCGACCCTGAGTCACATGGCTACGTAGTCTGTATCTTCTCACACTTGCCTGTCCTGTCTTTAGAATGGGGAGAAGGTGCTTCCAAAGGATGACATTGAGTGTCCACTGGGCTGGAAATGGGAAGATGAAGAATGGTCCACAGATCTGAATCGAGCTGTCGACGAGCAAGGTGGGAACACAAAACTCGGGACCCCATCTTAGCAAGCTTCCAGGTGTGTCAGTGGGACAGCTGAAGGCCACAGGCCCTGGCCTGACCTTCACTGTGCTACTTCACCTGGGGCCTTCCTGAAGGCGTCCCCACTTCAAGCTGCTAGTTAGGCAGAGTTTCAGCTGCTCAGGGATTAAGTGTGCCCCATATGGACAGATAACCCAGGAGAGATGGGGGTTTATTGACAATGACTGACAGGTGCCTTCTCCTAGGCTGGGAGTACAGCATCATCATTCCTCCAGACCGAAAGCCAAGGCACTGGGTTCCTGCTGAGAAGATGTATTACACTCACCGCCGGCGGCGCTGGGTCCGCCTGCGCAGGAGAGACCTCAGCCAGATGGAGGCATTGAAGAGGGTGAGGCTGAGAGAGATGGATGCCAGTGGGACCTCTGGATGGAGGAGGCCAGGGGACACAGGCTAGACATGTGAAAGTGCATGCAGCATGTACAGGCACATGAGACCCAATGGATTCACTGACAGGACACAAACAGATGAACCCAACTCACACACAGATCAACCCAAAATACATATCACACCCTGCACACATAGATCACACCCTGCACAGATCTCATACAGCATATAGATCTCACACAGCACATATATCTTACCATCACACAGACCATATCAACACATAGGTCACACCAGCACACAGATCACACTCTACATACAGATCTTACTCCACACACAGATCACACCAGCACGTAACTTTCACCTAGCATGCAGAGCACACCCAGCATGCAGATCACACTCTGTGTACAGATCACACCAGCAAATAGATCATACCAGCACACAGATAACACCAGCACTCAGATCTCATTCTGCATACAGCTCACATCAGCACACAGATCAGACCAGCACACAGATTACACCCAGCACACAGATCAGACCAGCACACATCTCACCTGGCACACAAATCATAGCTTGCTTACAGATAATACCTAGAACACATGTATCACATACAGAATACACAGATCATCTCTGGTGCTCACACTTGTCTGCAGACACACAGAACCGATACAGATGTCTAAGTGTTGCACGAGTTCACCTCAAGAATTCACTCAGTCTCAGAAGGCTCTAGGATATCAACAGGAAATGCCTTGGGCCTGGTGTCCTAGAGGGAGACTCCATGACATGGAGTTTGTGCTCTTGGGGCAAGGCTGTCGCCTGGTGGTGTCCCTTGAGCCTCACAGATCCTCCTCACCTGGAGACAGGGGAAGTAATCTGTACCCTCTTAGCTGTCTGCCATCACTGAGGGTGGCTGAGCTATGCTGGGACATAGGTCTCCACAGGGAAGTAGCTTCCTGGTGGTGGGCCAGGCCTTGGAGCCCACAGGCCTGGCCACTGGAGATGAGTCACAGCATGAGCATGTTGGCTGTGAAGGGCCAAGTGAGCTCTATCATTGGTCACCTGAGAATGTTATAGAACACAGGACAGACCCATAGTGCTCTTATATGAGCACACATGATCACATGCACTATCCCCAGAATGGTTGGATACACATGCTCAGCCCAATCTCAGCATCTGACTCCCCTAGGTCCTTTTTGCTCTGCCCTTCCTTCCCAAGGGCACATTTGGATTTTAGTGGTAGATCAGGCTTCCTCTGTGTCTAAGCACAGCTTTTGGTGGGACCTAGCTTCCATCTTTTTCCTTCGAGCATCTAGAGAAGGATGACTGGGCTCTGGAGAGACATATAGGTTTTGGACAAGCAGCTGCGAACCAGACCAACAGATGTTTTCTGTGGAGGACACCCAGTTGTCAGAGGTGTGGGCCTTGCCTGGGATGATGTCTAAGGACAGTGTCAGGTCACTGTCTTCTAGGGGCCAGGGCCAGGTGCTTCTAGGTTCCTGATGGGAAGGGATCCATTTGGAGGTGAGGCAGGGGTCCCTCACAGTTGGCCCAGGTCCTGTGTCCTAGGGAGAAGCAGTCTGACCTTGGGAAGCAGGCACTTTGTTTTGCCTCTGAACTGAAGACCCACTTTCATGTTTAGAAGTCAAGATATAAAGAAGAAAAAGGAAATGACAAAAAGCTCGGATTCATGTAGTCCACCCCTAGTTCAAATAAACAGCCCAAAGCCCAGTGTCTAGTCCTGCTGTCATCTGCCTTCTGCCCACTTCCTTAGCTTCCCTATGGCCTAGGAACTTCCACTCCTGCCTGGATTTCCCACTCAAAGCTGCTCAAAGCCACACTCTTCCAGGTGGCTCTCCCAGGTTTACCCCTCGGAATCATGTGTCCCTCCTTCTAAGCAGCCTGCTCTCTTATGCAGCACAGGCAGGCAGAGGCCCAGGGTGAGGGCTGGGAGTACGCCTCTCTGTTTGGCTGGAAGTTCCACCTTGAGTACCGCAAGACGGATGCCTTCCGCCGACGCCGCTGGCGCCGCCGCATGGAGCCACTAGAGAAGACCGGGCCTGCAGCCGTGTTTGCCCTTGAGGGGGCTCTGGTACGTAGGACTGTGTCTGCCTGAGCTTGGTAGGGGTGCAGCTTGCCTTCTTAAAACTGACATGGGACGGGCATGGAGCCCTTAGAGTCAGGGCTTTTAGACAGAACACTGGCCAGCTATCCTGGCTTTGATCCCTGTCAGGTGGCATGTGGGGAGAGTAAGCAGCAGTCTGGGTGTCTTTCTAAAGACAACTTCCTTCTTGGCACTGGAAGACAATGCTGTTTCCCTGAGTGTGAAGATGAGAGTTGCGGGTTGGGGGCTGGCCTCTGACTATCTCACCAGGTAGCAAAGCCAAGGAACTTGGAGATTCTTGCAGACATGGGCTGGTGTGGATGGGAGGAGAGGCCTCAGCCCAACCCATAAGAGGGGCCAGAGAGGTCTGGGGACCCTAACATGTCCTTGATAAGACTCAATTCTCGTGAGGTGGAGGCTTCCCTAGGGACTTGGGGGAGACCTTAGAAAGGGAAGTCCTGGATGGATGGATGTCTTGCTCCTGTGGCACTTTCTATAGCCAATGATACCAGGGGTCAGCTCAAGATACTCAAGATGTGGATGATGGGCTTCCCAAAAGAGATGATGGGAGTCGGAACAGGAACACTTGGAGCCAGCACACAGCCTGTTCTCTGCTCTACTGGTGTGAGGCTCTTGGGGACAGGATGAGAGGGCTGAATGAGACCCCCACTTCTGAAATCCATCCAGGACAATATACTCACTCTTTGTGGGGGCTTTGGGGTGTGACCCTGGGGAGCAAGTCCCGCTTTTACAGCCGGTGGGACACAAAACCATTTGAGTGCAGCCAGTGCATATGAACATATCCATGGGTCATCTCTGAGGCCTGTGGGGATCTGTGGGTGGGCCCAGGAAGTGATGAGTGAACACAGAGAAGGGAGCAGAAGCTAGCCATGGCCCCAAAGAGGCCCTTAATTTCAGCCTTAACTGAGAGCCAGTTCCAGTTGTGGAAATGCAGGAGAGGAAGCCTTCTGGTGGCAAGCCTTCTGGTGACAGCAGCCTGTGATAGGCATACAGTGAGCCTTCTCTAGTCCTAGGTGAAGCCTGAAGGAGAAACAACTTACTGGGCTCTGGGCCTCTGAACAGCTGTCAGCCAGGGCAGGAGAAGGTAAGATGGAGCTGTGGCCTGCGTGGAGCAGGGCTGGTACTCAGTGACTGTTTTTGTTCTGCATTGGGCCTGGCCTGGTCACTGGGCAGGGCCTAAAGGTGTTCCTGTGGATGAGGCTGAGGTAGTGGAAGAAGAACTTGAGGAAGGCCAGGCAAACACCCAAGGGTAGGATTCAGGACCATAAGAGACTAGAGGCTGAGGAGATGGCTTAGTGGATAAAGTGCTTGCTGTGTAAGTCTGAGGGTCTGTGTTTGATTCCCAGCACCCACATTAAAAAACTGGGTATGATGATATGTGCTTGTAATTCTTGTGCTGAGGAGGTAGAGACAGGAAGATCCCTGGGGCTCACTGACCATCCAGCTTAGCTTAATCATTGGGCCCCAGGTCTCAGTCAGAGACTCTCTCAAAAGACAAGGTGGATATGAAGATTCTATTCAAACCAGCCCATGATAACGGAGATGGAGGCTTTGAGTCTCAGCTGGGAAGTACCCTGGAGGGGAGCCAGGAGTTAAGGTAGCAGGAAATTGAGGTTTTGGGGACGTCCAGCGACTTTTCTTTGTCTAGGCCTTCATTTCATATTGGCTTTCTTCCTGGTAGCAATGATGGTGCTGCTGAACAAGGCATACCACATCCTCACAGCCACGGTATTCTGCTAGACAAAGGCATCCAATCCACCTCCCAGATGGAGAGACCAGGGCGATGCTTTTCAAGTCTAGGAAGGGACTGGCTTTGCCCGGTTGTGTGTGTGAGCCAGGCCCTGCACCTGGGGAGAGGGGTGGAAGGCTCTAATTGGCCACATCCTTGCTGTGTGATTGACAGCAGTACCAAGTTTGAGAGAGGACTTCTGAAAAGGAAAAGAAAGAGAGCAGGTCCAGGTCTTACCAATGGACAGTAGGGAGCCAGGGGCACGGAATAGGTGGAGATGGGGGCCGTTGAGCAGAGGAGACCTCTGGTTGGAGCAGGGATTTGGGACCGTGGGTCACATAGTTATGGAAGGTAGCTGAGAGGGAGAATCTCCCATCAGAAGATGCAGGGACAAGTTAACCTGAGGAGGGAGCTGTAGGACCAAGGTGGTAGGAGGTGGAGTAGCAGAGTATAGGGAAGACATGGGGGTGTCAGAGGCTCAACCAGGTAGATGGAGAAGCAGTGTGAGTTCTAGGGTGTGGGGTGAGCCTGGGGATACTATGTGTTTAAGGTTGGCCCTGGCAAGTCTGACACCTGGTTGGTTGCAAGAGAAAGGCAGATCTGGAGGGCAGGGGAGCAGGAGGGGAAGGGCGCAAGACCAGAGGTGCCCAGAGACATATGGATGGAGGTGGGTGCAGGAACTGGCCAGGACATGGAAAAGGAAGGTGAGCAAAGCTGAGGGGGATGTGTAGCTGAGTTTTCCTGACATGGTGACTGGGGGATGGAGTGCAGGTGGTGCTGGGGGTTTTCCAAAAGCAGAGAAATGAGCCTGTTTGTTCTGCATGTGGGAGAGGATGTCATGGAGGACCACGGAAGTCAACTGTCACATTGACAGCTGTGGAAGGTGATGGAGTGCAATTCATTTGTGATTGGCCTATAACACACAGAAAGAACCTGCCCTAGGAAGTCCTCCCTATTCCTGGGGAACATGGCGGATGTGGAGAACCTGAGGGAGATGGATGATGGTTTGCTAGGGTGGATCCTGCAGAATTCTGAAAGCCCTTAGGAAAGGTTCAGCTTCTGGACAGAGCCACAGCTCTATTTGATAATCACTGTCTAGATCACTCTGTACCTGAATGAATGGATCCCTCTCAGACCCGATAGACACTCATGGTCATACCCTACAGCCTCCCATACCACACCCTCCTTCCACAGTCACCACATTATTCCTGCCAGGTCAAAGGACAAGCCAGGCTCCAATCCTTGAACTCACTGTGCTTGCCCTGGGACATTCTGATGTACCAACCAGGGACTGGGGCAAAGCTCACTTTCTGTCTTGGGGCAGATAGTTCATTGTTCTGTTACCAGGACTGTACTTCCATTCTGAACATTGGCCCCTTCCCATGGTCCTGGTGTCTGTTCATATCCACCGCCCCCCCCCCCCACTGTATCTGCCTCCTACACCTTTGGGATGGTTACCTCATTTGCAGAAGGAGTCACATCTTAGCATCACTGAAAGGATTAGCAGTGATGCAGGTTAAGAGCTGCTTCTCACGGTAATAAGCAGAGAGGTCAACCAGGGACCTGTTACAATGCTGGCTCTGATGCAGTGTCCGGGTGGGGCCCAAGAGTCTCCATGTCTACGTGATGTTGCTGCTGCTGGCTGAGTAATGAGGACAAGGATGGAGTGCATTATGAGATAATGAGGGGCTCACACTGCCCGCCCCCCTTTTCTGAGAGAGGCTGGGTGTGTGACCAGAGTCCTGGATAGGGAGGGGCAATGTGACTTGTTCTCCTGCCCTTTGGTAGATTTGATACTGGGGACTTGGCCCGTGGGGAGTCCCCATGGGATTTAGAATTGGAAAAGAGGTGCTCATACATGAGTGTGAACAAGCCCATTGCAACCTGCATCTTTGACATGATAAAGTCTTTCCAGAGTTACCATACTATCAAGGGAGGCTACTTGGAGGAGGGTACCTGGAGGAGGGTACTGGAGAGGGACCTTAAAAGGGACAGGGAAGGACTGGGGGTGGGGTTGAGGGAGCCTCCTGGGAACCTGCGGATTTTGAATGCCTGGGTCTTGAGGATCAGGCCTTGCCTCCTACCACCCCTCCCTGGCTCATGCATCCTAGGCAGGCTGACCTGGGCTTCCAGCTCCCTCTGGAAAGCTTCTTGTTGGAAGACAGACCCTGTCTGCTCGTTAGCACTAGCAGCCTTTCCCTGAAACCTTCTGCAGGGGCCAAGCCTGGCTCCCTCCGCAGAGCGGGAGGCCCTGGCTCTGTCTGCTAGCGTCTGCTGTCTCCATCCCGCGCATTATTTTATTTTTGTATTATTCTTTTTCCAGCTAATATCCTGGCATTCCCAAAGACACCGGGTTTCATAATCTTCCTGGCGTTCCCAGGGAGCTGGGAATCTGAGCACAAAGCCGCTATTATAGTGTGTTCCATCAGCCTCCCTCTCCTTGCCCCACACCCCTGCTGCAGCCGCAGCCACCACTGCCGGCTCCCACCCAGTCACCCCCTCCTGACGCCACCGGTCTCTCTGGGAACTCTGGGAACTCTGCAGGGATGAGCTCATGGAATCTGTCCTGTTGCCCTTGCCCTGGGCCTGCCCTCCAGGCACGAGGATTTTTCCAAGCCCAGCCTCTGCACTTAGCCCTTCGAGCTTCCCGAGCTGTAGAGGCAGCCTGACCTGGATGGAGGGAGGGAGGAGACGGGCCTGAAGCTGGCTGCCTTGGAGCCTTCTAGGGCTGGGAAAGACTTTCATGTTCAAAGGTGCCTCATCAACTGCCTTCAGAGCTGTGGGAGCCTTGGGAAGCTGAGTGCAAAGTTTGTGTGTGTGTGTGTGTGTGTGTGTGTGTGTGTGTACATATGCATGCATGTATGTGCGTGTGTGTTCTCCTGTCTTTTGGTGTATCTGATAGTGTACTTTTGTGTCTGTGATGGCTAAATTCTGGTGTCCAACCCCTGGCTTTATCTATTCCTTCAGTGCCTCCAAATTCCCAAAGAGAAGAATTATTAAGTCTATTTAACCATGTGCCAGAAACCAGTCAGAGAGGTTTGCAAGTTGCCTTGCTATATCCCACAGTGACCTCAGTAGACTGGTTAGTGACATTAGCCCATTTTACAGTTGAGGCAACGGAGGCTCTGGACCTAGTAATCAGAAAAACAGTAATAAGAAAATGTGGATGCTGGTCAGAGTAGTCATAGCTCAGGGACTCAGTAACCACACCTGGCTTATGCTGGCCCTCACACTGGGC